GTGCATTGTGTTATTTTAACGAAATTTGAAAGCAAACGGGTTACGTTAAAAAGTGTTTTTATGGGATGCACTGCCTAACTATCAACTTTTTTCGGCTCCGAACAGATGCCAGTTTGTTATTCATAAAAAGACTCGTCTGTAACAATACATGGAGCAAAATGTATTACGCTTTTTGATAATCTGCTTCGCCGCTGTTCGATTTCAGAGCAATATTTTTATACAGAATATGTATTTTATTATTCTTTATCCATGTAAAAGTACACATTGACAAAGTACAAAGCAAACAGCAAACTCAGTTAATTGAGTGTGTAAGTAGCTTGCTTTGTAATTTGTCTTTCTATTCATAGGTACCACGTTCCAAACCCGCCGAGTCAAGCTTTTCTGATATCGACGCACACTCTACTGGCTAATAGATAATGAAACCTTAGCTTGGAATTAAAAACACACCTAAAAAGCTTTTTAAAAGCATATTTTTAAAAAAAGAAAAAATGTGTTTAAACGCGTCCAGGAAAAGCGCGTTTAAACGCTAGCAAATGGTGCATTTTCGGAGCGATTAAACGCAGCAAAAAACGCGTTTTCAGACCTGTCTAGGATCGAAAAATATTTACATGGGAAGATGCCTATTTTGTAGCCCTTGAAAAGCTCTATCAATTGGCTATGTTTCAAATTCTTCATAATCGCAATTGATTGAGCGAAAAGTTTTTGTTTACATCGATTTTATTAAAAAATCGCAGTTTTTGAACTTCAGGTTTGGTGCCATTTGTGAAAATTTTTATAAATCGGCCAAAATCAAATATTCTGGTTTGTCCTATCTTAAGGCAAAATAATTCTTCTATTACATCCAAACTTCGATACCTCCATTTTCTTTTGCAGTAACAAGGTGAAAAGGTGGAAATTTTTCTTTTTTTTGATAGACAGTAGTAAAATTGCCTTTTGTATCAGAAAAAACACGTTCAGAGTCAACCTCTGATAATACGTCAAAAAGAATGGGATGAAGTTTGCTCTTGAAATCACTTTCTCTGCATTAAGGCGTTAAGTGTTTGCCTTCAGCTTGGATTCACAATAAAAAGGTCATTGTTTGTGTCCTGTCATTTTTCAACCTGTGAAAATTGATGCTGAAAAGTTTTTCCTTGTAGTTCTCTTTAATAAACAAAAAGGAATTATGTGATAAGCTTGATAATAACAAAAAAGTATAACAACTAATTTGAGATATATTTTTACATATGTAGAAGGGTCTTAGGGTAGTCTATCTTAACATAGTAAGAAAGATTGAAAATTTGTCTTGTGATGATAATAATTCAAGAAAACCGCTGCTTCATACTATAGCATAGTTAAATTATTGGGTGAGTCTATTGACACGCACTAAGCGTGTCAACAAGGAGCTAAGATAAAAAAATCTTCTAAATATTTTCCTTGAGGTTCAAAGCAAGTAGTTTTATCCATTTTCTCAGACAAACTGAGTATAAGTATAAATAATATTTTGCTTTTTCTGCCATTTTCTTTTATACACATTTCGTAAACATGAGCCTGCAAATTTATCTGCCATAGAAAATGATATTTATATAGTCTTCTTCTCTGTTGAGATTCATAGCTATATTTCACTTTTATCAAAAAATATACCTGTCCGCGTAGATTAACATTCTTTTTCCGACAGATATTTGCTTCTTTAACGACATGATTTATCTTTAGTTCTTCACCGTTTCTAGAGAGCTTCCCTTCATTCTCTTCACTTCGAGACTTTGGAAAACAATTCGAAAGCGATTCCTCTTTTCTCGTCACTACTTTTTCACTGTACAGTTTTTCTTTAAAAATAAATATTATATATATAGTATTAATAACCGTTACTAGTTGAGTAGTGTAGAAGTTAAAAGTTCAATTCAATTATTTAATTATTCAAATGTTAATTCAGTTCCACATTCACCACCTCTCCTCTACCCTCCCACCCCACCCCGATCTCCTCCCTAGCTATTAATAGTTGAATTCAATTTTTGACTTCTGCACGCATGTACTAGTTGGGATTAGCGTCAGAAACGAGGCATTATGTCTTCATAGACACATCAAGGGAGTGTCAATAGCTTCTTGTTGACACGCCTGGGCGTGTCAATAGCCATTCCGTAAATTATTTTAATAAAGCCACAGACCATATCTCAACCGAACGATAGTCTGTTTAAGACACCGATATATGAGTCAATGTACTTTTGATCACCAAACAGCTATAGATACAAATGATCACCAAAAAAAGATACCTTTGATCACCAAATTTTCCAGCATGCATTTCACATTTTTATTTCTCAACAAAGTACATATTGTTTTTCATTTTTCGGTAAAACCTGGAACTAACCTGAATACTGTTTTGGATAGTCAGAAGCTTTTTCTATCAGATGAGGCGCATATCGCCGTTACATGAGAAAAGTTGATAATAGGGTCTCTGGAAAATCTGACCGTCAGAAAACAAAGTCCTTGGTTTTAGATCGGAAAATTTTGTAAACCATATGGCCTGATAGAGCAAAGACTTCTGAGGAAAATAAGACATCTCCAGGCTCTCTGTAAGGCTTCGTCACAGGAATGTTTTGGTATTTTTCACGCCCTTGTAGCCATTCGTACACTTCCACTTGCGTGAAAAAGCCTTAGAGACACGTTGAAGATGTCTTATTTTCCTCAAAAGTCTTTGCTCTATCAGGCCATATGGTATATCACCGGACTTCGAAATTTTAAAAATCGATTAGAGTCCGGGGGATCCCCCGGACTCTAATCACATTTGAAAATTTAGAAGTCCGGTGTTATGTTTACAAAATTTTCCGATCTAAAACCAAGGACTTTGTTTTCTGACGGTCAGATTTTCCAGAGACCCTATTATCAACTTTTCCCATGTAACGGCGATATGCGCCTCATCTGATAGAAAAAGCTTCTGACTATCCAAAACAGTATTCAGGTTAGTTCCAGGTTTTACCGAAAAATAAAAAACAAAGGAGTTCTTGTGATTCTGACACACTGTATTGTATATCTAACACTATCGAAATTGAGAATTAAGAAAGATGGGATTATTCACCGGCTCACACTATTATTCGTCATAAGACCGAAAACACCATGAGAGAAATTTCGAAAGCTCTCAGTACCAGATTCTACCTGTCGTTGTGCAGCCAAACCTCAGGACATGATCCCAGTAGCAAATTGTAGCAGTGGAAAATACGAAAGCGATAACAAACTGATTTAGTATCAAAAGAGTATTCTAGAAGCTTGAAGCGATATCCAGCTTATGGAAACCATTCAGTTGTATTCTTTGAGCTGTCAGCATCAAGAGAAATTCAAATGAGATAGGGACGAATCACTTGTTTGATTTCTTAATCGAAGTTTTTTTAATGCATAGAATTCATTTTCGTTACAGAAACCAATCAAAGCAATAACAAAATCATAGACGAAGACTATGCCGTAAGCCATGGCCATAATCTCTTCTACACTAGTGGCTCAGTATTCGAAAATGCTTAGTGTTATGGGAAAATGACAATCAATTTTAAAATTTATATAAATTAAAACTTAAAAGAAAAAATTCAAATTTCAAATTTTGTAATTTTAATTTCATCACCTAGGCATTTTCCTGAAAAGAATTCAAAATTACGCTGATCAATAGAGCATTCAATTCTCTACAAAATGGCTTATTTTTTTTCTAACTTCCAATGCTTAGAACAGGTTTGGAGCCAATAGAGTTTTCTGGAAAACCCGAACAGTGGATATAGATTTTCGACAATTGTCAAAGTGCTAACAATTTTTAATTAAATTAATTTAAATGAAAAGGTTCATTTTGTCTTAATCAGAGGCATTAAAGTCAGAATTGTGCTAGTAATTCTCAATTTTCTCCATCAGAAATCAACTTCTATGCAATAGAATATCATATTCGGCATCAAGATCGAAAACTGAGTCGAATGATGTGTATTTCGAAATTTTTAGTTAATTTTCATTTTTTGGTAAAAATCGCGATAATTTTTCAACGTGAAAATTAGACAAAAAGTAAAGTAGCCCGATATGATAGAGATACACATCACTCGACTCAGTTTTCGATCTTGATGCCGAATATGATATTCCATTGCATAGAAGTTGATTTCTGATGGAGAAAATTGAAAATTACTGGCACAATTCTGACTTTTCTGCCTGTGATTAAGACAAAATGAATTTTTTGAAACTTTTTGAAAAAAAAGTGATGCATACTTTTGTTCGCCTTTAAATGCTGATTCGAATGGCGTATGACGGTCGGAGAAAAGTTTTAAAACCAGGGATCAGATAGGTTTGCGAGAGAGATAGCTCATTTTGTCGAGCGCTTACTCTTGTTAAAATTGTGCAACACTGGTATTTTGTTTTTTGTGACTCAGAGGTACACGATTAGACTCAATTTTTGATGGTGAATCCGATTATATCAAATTTGAAAAATTACAGTGAACGGAAGATGGGAAAATCTCAAGTTTTTTCAGAGGAATGCAAATCTTCTGTTGTATTAGTGCTCATAGTATTTTGAGGATTTCTCCCCGAAAGATATTGCTGAATTTTTGAATTGTGGGCACCTTACTTTTATCTAATTTCTACTGATCTGTCAATTGGATTTCCATTTATTTTTATAATCTTGCTAGATTCCAAATGTTTAGCCTCTTTGGACTTACTTTCGCTAAGTTAAGAAGCATGATTTAAAACAAAGGATTTCTATGAGTAATACAGCCTGACGAGTATGTATATGGATTTCTCTTTTTTGTAACTCGATATTAATATCATGTTGACAATAACCATTAGAGCATAAAACACAACTGGAATAGAAATAAAATAGTCTTTCTATCTTTCGCGTATCCGAGACGAAAAAGGGAAGCATGCTGGAAATAGTGCTTGAAGGTGAGAAAGAGAAGTAGTTACACTACAATAGTTGAACACTTATAGCCTGATCTACAGTAGTAAGGGTATAAAATATAAAATTGTGAACATAACTAAAATGTAATGAATAATATGAAAGATTCATTTTGTTATTCCCATTCTTTTAAAAAAGACAGGTGAAATGTTCTAAATTTATCAACAAGTTGTTTCATTTGTTCCACTGGTGGCAAAATCGTGGCACGAAAGTGATAAGTACCAGGACGTTGGTGAAATCCACTACCAGGTACGACAGAGATACCAGTTTTTTCCAATAAAGCTAAACAATAAAATGTATCTGGTGCCATATTTTGATGCTTAGCTATTTCTTGTGCTTTTTGTGGTATGTCGATTCGAGGAAATGCATACATAGAGCTAAAAAGAAAAAGTAGATAATATTTTTGGTACGTGCCCTAGCCATTGAATCTTATATAAGAATCTGATAGAGATCTGATAAGAATTATTTCAGCTTCTTATCTGACTTTGTCAAGAATCTTATCTGATTCTTGTCAGAAGTGGCACGAAAGTGGAAGGAATTTCATAAACATCAGATAAGAATCGAGTAAGACTCTTATAGAAATTTTATAAGAAAGTGGTAAGCGTCGTTATTAATTTCCTATGAAATTCTTATATAAAAAGGGTTTTTTCTTCACTGAAGTCCTCATTAGTTTTTAACAATAATAAGCAAAAGCAATTTTAAAAAGTCCGATCCTTATATTCTGCTACAATCTTTTTCAACTTTTGTTACGAGTAGAAATGCAGTTGCATACGGTGACGAAACATGTTAATCATCCCACCCAAACAGCTTGTGTTTCAACTCAAGTCATATACTATGCTTCTGGAACGTCTTAGTAAGCAACATATGTCTATAGTTTAAGTATACCATGATATTTTATGCGAGGAGGCAACGAGATGGGAAGAATTCTTGGAGAAATTCCTTAAGAATCCAATGAGATTTGAATTAGAATTGTATAAGAGTCAGTAAGAAATTAACCCTTTCTTGCCCTTTGGTCTCTATAGGGACCATGTTATAAAAGTTTTATTTTTTTTGAACTAGAAGGCTTTTAACGAGGAATCTTATGTCACCTTTAAGAGTAACTATC